ATCTGTGTGTGTGTGTGTGTGTGTGTGTGTGTGTGTGTGTGTGTGTGTGTGTGTGTGTGTGTGTGTAATCTTATCCATGTGGAATGTCTGTCCAATCTGAAGAATGAGAGAGACACCACAGACACACAACAGACTGACTGTACTGAACACACAGCTGCACTGTCACCTGTTTTTGTGTTGGGGGTCACATTTAAAAAACTGATAAGGTGTTTTTGTAGTAAAAACTTTTAAAAAACTGATGTAATTTGTCAAAATATGGGCAAAATTTCAACATTCCATTGTAATTCAGTATAACATATATTTATGTAAAAATTAACCATACTTATTCTGACCTGTGCTTACTAAAATAAATAAAAGAAAAAGTGATCATATAAAACTTTATCATGTTTTAAATGATTACATACTTCTTGATGACAAATTGGAAAAACCTAGTATTTTGAAAGATAGTGGCAAAGATTTGGAAAGATTTAAAATTACAATTAATTAGTATTTTTGAGTGGGCTGAACTTTGATACTTTTTTTAATGTCATCTCATTCATTTTTGTTCTTTGTTTTGGTATATGAACTATTGTTACGTTGAATGATATTTAACTGGGTGTCTTTTGTAAATCATGGTAAAAATATATAATAATCTTCTTTTTTTTTGCTCAGAAAAAAAGTAAAATTTATATAAATAAATTAGTGCTGTCAAACGATTAATCGCATCCAAAATAAAAGTTTTTGTTTACATAATACATGTGTGTGTACTGTGTATATTTATTACGTATATATAAATACACACACATGCATGTATATTTTTAAGAAAAATATGTTACATTTATATATTAAATATATTTATAGATTATATAATTTATATGAATATAAATATATACATGTAAATACATGTAAATATTTTCAAAAATATATTATGTAAACAAAAACTTTTATTTTGGATGCGATTAATCGCGATTAATCGTTTGACAGCACTAAAATAAATCAAATAAAACAAAGCTTTTATTGTTTTTAGGCTTGAAAACCCATTTCGTCTTTGACCCATATACACACTTTAGAACTTAAATATTTATAGAATACTTAATTAATAATAATACTATATATTATTATTATTTTCATTTTAAATTTGTAGTATTTTATATTTGTCAGGTGAAAATCATCTAGTGTGACTAAATGTGAAGCCACATCAGAGCTGTTATCTCTCACAAACGTGCTGTGATCGGATCATCTGAGCAGGTGAGTCTAAAGGGTTTGCATGGAGTGTAATCTCTCAAAAGATTGAATCACTAGATTAAATCAGTCATCAGGGACTATGATAGACTGAACGAAGCTGTAACCGTGAAAAAGACACACACACACCTCTCTGTAACTGAGTTTGCCGTCATAATCTTCATCCACCTCCTTGATCATGTTCTTCAAGCCCAGATGTGTCTGTGGAGCTCCAAGTTTCTCCATCATCAGCTTCAGTTCCATCAGATCAATGAAGCCGTCTTTACCAGAGTCAAATCTACACACAAACACATGTAAAAAATTATTTAAAGGAATAGTTCACCTAAAAGTAAAGTATTGATAACACTCTCTTTGTACTCTTTTTCCATTACGATGACAATTAATTTCATCACAATCAATAAATAAAAATGAGCATTATTAGTAAAACGATTTAAATTTAAATATTTAAATTCAATTAAAATTGAATATTTAAATTTGATGACGTGACACTGAAGACTAGAGTAATAATGCTGAAAATGTAGCTTTGCATCACAAGAATAAATTACATTTTACAAAATATTACAACAGAAAACTAAAATAAATTTTCACAATATTACTGTTTTCACTGTATTTTTGATCAAATAAATGCAGCCTTGGTGAGCTTACGAGACATTTGCTCATTACAAAATCTGACCGACCCCAAACTTTTGAATGCTATATGCTGTTTCAGACCATTTTATCAATGCAAATTGCATTTTAGCATATGTATTACATCAACCTATACTAGCGACACTCAGAAGTGAGATGTTGACATGAAGATTTATCCAGTCTCAGCAGAGGGAGGCCAGCAGAACAGCAGGTGGAGAGTGACGACAGAAACAGCAGGAAAAAGAGATTCTAACAGAGGAGAGTATTTATAGAGTCTCATCCAGCTGTTGCCACACCAACCAGCAAGAACGCGTGCGTGCGTGTGTGTGTGTGTGTGCGAGAGAAAGAGAGAGAGAAGTGTTTGCCTTGAACATCGTGTGAAAGTGAAGAGGCTGAGATTGAAGGAGTGGGCACGTGTTTCTATTTTGGTTCGAGTGATGCTTTTAGAAAGAACTTGCTCATTGTGGCAGAAAAGTACAGGTGAACATCACCTCATCTCTACTTCTCTCCCTCTCCATATAGGTCAAGAAAAGCATGAATGAGATCGCATTTATATTCACCTATACAGCAAAATAGAGAAAGCCAGATTTCACTTCTGAAAAAAGTCACAATAATCTCACATGGTTGTTAGAAGTGATCTCATTATGAAATTTAGCATTATCTGACTTGCTCACCAATGGATCCTCTGCAGTGAATGGGTGCCGTCAGAATGAGAGTCCAAACAGCTGATAAAAACATCACAATAATCCACAAGTAATCCACACCACTCCAGTCCAGCAATTAATGTCTGTGAACTGAAAATCTGTGTTTGTAATAACCTTAAAACCATTTGTTCAGGCTAAAATATGAGTGCACTATCCATAATATTGCTTTCACCATTGAAAAAGTAATCTAGTCTGAATCAGGAGAAAAATATACACAGATCAAGCACTGTTTGCAAGTGAAAACAGTCTAGTTTTAAACAAATATGCTGGTGGATATTAATGTGAGAGACAACAGGAAATTGGACTTTTATGAATTATAATGAATTATGGACTCATATTTTGGCCAGAAACGATGGTTGAGAGTAAAACACCCTAATGATGGATTCGTTTCTTACAAACACACAGCTTTTCACTTCATTTCAGACATTAACTGATGGACTGGAGTGGTGTGAATTACTTGTGGATTATTGTGATGTTTTTATCAGCTGTTTGGACTCTCATTCTGACGGCACCCATTCACCGCAGAGCATCTATTGGTGAACAAGTGATTTTTGGACAAACAATTTCTCAAATGCATTAAATGTTACTAATTATCTAACCTGCAATCCACATTAAATGTATTAAATCAAATCTAACATTTCAGCAAATGTGCATGTTTTTATTTCTCCTAAGGTATTTCAAAGAGAAACATCTGAGACAATGTGAATGTTTATCAGGGTGTTTCATATCTTTGCTCTGAATGGCCGTCTAATCTCATCTCCTTAGCTCATTGTTTCTGAAAGGTCATAAATAGCTCAACCTTCACTGTTAAAGTGCTGCATAAAAGCCAATTTATTAACCATTTCACGCAACATCCTCACTTTCTTTCTTTGTTCGATGCTGTTTTAACAGCCCCCACTAAGACATGCTCACACTTGCCTGCCCTGATTAAAAGACAACTGGGAATCTGCTGACCAGAACAGCAACTGCTTTCAGCAACTGGCAACACACTCCTACACACACGGCCCTGAAATGTGCGTGGATGCATGAAAACACAAACTGCCCTGATGTAATTGCGGGTGCATCGCATGTGTTTGTGTGTGGACGCTCTCTTTGTCCTCTCTGGTTTCCTGCTGTGGTATTTATAGATGCCAAGGCTCAGGGCAGAGATTCAGCAATAGAGCCTGGCATTCAGAGCACTGCAGTCCAGTAACAGATCCCAGATCTGCATAGAACCGCAGATATGCTGAGAACGGCTATTATGAACTACATGAAGCAGCATGAAACAGGTCAGGGTTAACAAGACTGACCTGGTATGTGAGAGAAAGTGAATGAGAGAGAGAGAAAGGGAGAATAACAAACAGAAAGAGGAGGATGAGGTTGGCATATTGGTCCTGCCCTCTGCATGCCGGACACATTCCAGGTCAACAGCCCTCCCTGTGCTAAAGAGGCTTGAATGGAGAAAATAAAGAAATATGCACACTTATACAAAGAAATAATTAGATATTTGATTATAAATACTGTAATACTGTGAAATATTATTTCAATTTAAAACAACTGTTTTCTCTTTGAATATATTTTAAAATCTAATTTATTCCTGTGGTGCAAAGCTGAATTTTCAGCATCATTACTCCAGTCTTCAGTGTCACATGATCCTTCCGAAATCATTCTTATATGCTGATTTGATGCTCAAGAAACATTTTTTTATTATTATTATCAATGTTGGAAACAGTTGAGCAGCTTCATATTTTTGCAAAAACTGTGATATGTTTTTTTTCATGATTTTTTGATGAATAGAAAGTTCAAAAGAAAAGCAAATAGAAATCTTTCCTAACATTCTAAATGTCCTTGCTAAATAAAAGCATTCATTTCTTTAAAAAAAAAATCTATCTATCTATCTATCATCTATCTATCTATCTCTTCAGGGTAGTGTGCTAATTCAGAAGTGTGTAGGTTTGTAAGTTGTGTTTATAAATGTGTTAACTCTGCTTTTGACCCATTTTCCTCTTATATATGACATCTTTTTTCATCTCTGATGAAACTGGGTTGAACTGATCTGAAGTGGGCCAGAGTATGTACTTCTATGACTTGAACAGACACACCTTTCGGTCCTGACGTAACCTAGTCTTATGGGACATCCACACTTTCATATCCTATACAGTTTGGGTTATTTTCCTATAACACAGTATAATCTAATAGACTTGACTGAGCATTACTGTTAATGAAGCAAAGTGCAAAACATTAGAACTATTTTATGTACAGTACAAGAAAACATCTACCTCATCGTAAAGTCTCTGTAAGGCATAAGTAACCTTGGGATCAGCTAAAAACAAATCCGTTAACATGCTTATGTGTGCATAACTCTGGAAAAATCATGACCTGGTAGCAGAGGATGACATGCAGAATCAAAGTCTCTGAGGTGAAACGGCATCAAACACTGGATTGTTTGCCATTTGTTATTATCTGGAGGGTTTTGATGCACTACTAGAGACCCGGTTCTGAATTTGATGGGATTAAATGAATAAGAATATCCAATGATATGATAAAAATGAATGAAGGGATTTTATTTTTTCACAACTCTGCATGTAACCAAAGAGACTCCCTCTCATCATAGACTCCTCCAAGTCCCTGCATTTAAACACACGCACAAACAGACAAAGATGGCATTGTTGCTCATGGCGTGGGTTCCATGGGGACGCAGAGTTTGTGAGTGGACCCTTGTACTGAAATAATGAGGGAAAGCTGGACAATGGCTGTTCAGAGAGAGAGACCCCAGAGCAAAAGATTATTTTGGCACTGTACAAGGATGCTCCGAGAGAGCATTCATGTTCATTTAACATTAGCTTCAGAATCTATTGTTCATTTCTTGGTATTTTACACTCACTATATTTTTGGTAAATAATTCTCCATGTGCATAATTTTATTTATTTTTCAATGCTTTTGCAATATAAATGCACCTGTCACTATAGTTATTTTTTACCTCAATGTTACATTCATATTCATTTTTATTTTCCTCAGTGTTAATTTTTTATTTTATGCACTGCATTGTTTTATATTTTTATACTATCCTAAAACTACCTGTTTACTCCATTCACACTGTTTTACTTACAATTAAATTTTAAACTCAATACACTTTTAATGGAAATAAAGCACAGTAAATAAAATTTAAAATTTAAATTTAATACAATTATTAAGATAAAATAACTATCAAGAAAATAAAAGACAAAAAATCAAAAATAATAAATGAGGGATTTCATTTAAAAGAAGCATCATTCATTCTGATCCAAGAACACAATGATCCCAGAACTCTCTGACGCACACAAGCACACAAACTTCACTCTTAGTTGTTATGACCTAAAATAACTACCAAATACCAGTTAAATGTTTCATTGACTTGGATAAATCTTAATTTAGATAAATATATATGATAACGACAGTGGGTGGGTTTTAAATGGTGTTGATTAATGAACTGACCTCTTGAACATTTTCTCCATGTCTTTGATCTGTTTGCGCGAGAACTCTTTAAACTCGGTGTAGGGGTTGAAAACCTTCATCTGATTGGGTTTCGCTGTGCCGTCGTGGATGTCCAGCCTGCGGGTGAGTTTCTCCGTCAGTTCAGAGCTGGCGTCGCCGTTCATGGCAGTGCTGGGTCTCACCGGCGGCGGCTGCTCTTCGTCCGCTCCTGTCTGCGCCGGAGAGCCGGGTTTGGGGTCACGCTGCTCGGCGTCCAGCCTGCGCTGCAGCTTCCGTGCGAGCTCCTCGGATGACATTGCGACTGTGATGCTCCTCTGCCTCGCACGATCAGCTGTTTCTGAACACTAGTCTCGATTTTGGGAGAGAGGCGGGGCTGCAGAGCACTGAGTCTCTCAAGCCAAGTGAGATTCGTAATGCTGAATTGATAATGTTACAAGATATTTGTATACGCGTTTATTAATAGAACACTGAAAGACTTGGATGTTTTGCATAATGAATTCGTTCAGCTATTAAGGATTCACTGGAGCGTTTTAAAATCAAAATGTAGCTTGAGTTGGCCGGGAATCGAACCCGGGTCATCCGCGCGGCAGCCGAAAATACTTAAAGTGTATTTAGATGAAAAATGATTACACATTCATTTTATGTTATTTGCGGCCGAGGCGGGATTCGAACCTCTAATTGGGTGTATTTTACTCGTCCCGCCTCCCTGGAACTTCCTTCCTTCCTGTTGGCTAGTCAGCGCTCTACACCTATGTGCGGCTGGCCCCGGGTTGGAAGGCAGCTATGCTAACCACTATACCACCAACGCGCTGTGGTACCAAGCGTTTTAGTTTCAAGTAGTTCCCACCACACGGTTTTGACGTTCTGCCTCAGATATGGACTGAATACAATGGGATTTAGCAATTGTATTCATCACACTGAAAATTGAACTGTTATATAAAAATCAAATGCATCGCAAATCAGCATCGACCTGGCGTGCCTATCTATAAAGGCTTGTATGTTACAATGCACCCTTCTAATAATCAATAAAAATAAACAGAAAGTGGCTCAGCTTAACTTCCCTTAACTTTTCCCATTCATTCTCTATGGTAGTGCTTAACACTACGGACGCAATATACTTTTGGCCACACGTAGACTTCATGTCGCTGTTTCATCTTTTCCGTGAAGCCCAGTGTCATCTGTCAATCATTCTCAGTGGAGGAGGGGAGACCCGCTTTACGATCGGAGAGGTAGGCTATTTGTTTACCGAATTGTCAGATAAAAAAAAAAAAACTTGTTTTGGACAACAAATATTTCCAAATATTTCCATGTCTTACAGAGAGCTAAGGAGCTATTTTGGAAAACAAAATATGAGGCGTGATGCTTACTTTGTCTGTAGTCTGGATTTTGCGCAGGAAGCGTTGGTATCGATCCCTCTTTCAGAAGCAACCTTTGCACAACTCCAGCGCTGAACTGACCCTCGTTTGTGAGGCAGTCCAGCGTAAAATGATTAGCACAAACATATAGGACTTTTCAATATATTGCTTTTCCCGTCCAAAAAGACCATAAACTTTGCAGGTAACATCTGAAACAACAATTCATTTACATACACAAATCCTAAAAACTAATCCTGTGTGACTGATACACTTCAAATTGGGTGATTAGAGGATTACTTCAGTGTCTGCCCTACATCTCACAACTGAGCTCTGATAAATACTGCCGTCTATTTGACTATTGTAAATAAGACGTTAAGCTTTTTCCACCACATATTATAAACATGCGCTTTATACAGTAAATATTTTAACTTAAGACAAGACGAACAAAATGCTTGAATATTACCAGGGCAGGAAAATTGTATATTATTGCAAATATTTACTTTGTATATGATTGTCCTGTAGGAATGCAGAGAGGTTCATTCCACCTCTATGTAAAGTGTTTGGACCCAGAATGAAGGCAGACCAGGTGACTCCTCTGCTCCAGGCTTTGGACTTCACCATCACTCTGAACTCCATACCAGAGGAGGAGCTAGAGAGCTTTCTGCCTTTACTCAGCAGTCACACAACTCAGGGTTATACTGATATAACAGCACTGATATCATAATAAACATGACTGTTTAGTAATGCATGTGTGTGATTTTGCAGAAGCTGCTTCATTGCTGCAGTTCCTCTGATCTCCAGCAGGAGGCAGCAGATGCCCTTCTCTCGGCTCTTCATAACAGACTGGACTTCTGCTGCTCTGCTCTGGATTTAACAGACACACAGGAAAACCAAGAACATTTGAAACTAACCAAAAAAGACTGTAGAATGATCTCAGCTGTGCTTCAGAAAACCCAAACTATTGTGAAGCTGAGCTTACAGGACTGAGCTCTCTGATGAGGCCCTGAAACAACTTTGGCCAGTCCTGCCTCAAGTCCAGCTGAGGTAAGACAGCTGACAGACCTCTTCCATTGCTAATATTACATAGTGCATTATTTATCTCCATATCAAATCCCTGTATATTATTCTCACATTCATGTTTGTTGTTTTGTTCTCCTTCCTCTCATCAGCTGTAGTAAAGCTCTGCTGCTGCAGTTTCTGGCTTGTATTAGTAAAGATGGAGCCGAGAGAGGCTCTTTGAGGAGCGCTGAGGCTCTTTCACAGGCTTTGGGAGGAGAGCTGGACCTCAGTCACACTCAGATGGACCCGAGAGCTTGTGAAGAGCTGGCACTGTTTCTGGAATATTCTGAAGGACTGACAGAACTGGTTCTCAGTCACTGCAAACTCACTGATCACTGCATGGAGCCGCTGCTGCCACATCTGCACAAAACCCAGACTCTGGAGTGAGTTACACAGACACGTCAGGAATAGAGAAATATAAAACACAGTATTCAAACTTGTTTACTTCATGTTTATTTCTGTTTAATCTTTTCATCTCATTTCTTCTTGTAGCCTGAGTCACAATAATATCACAGATGAATCAGCAAAGAGCATCCACAGTGTCGTCTGCACTCACAGCAATATTCAGACTGTACGGTAAGTGTGTGTGATCAGTGTTTTACTGGTGTAGGTCTATTAACCCGCTATGAAATTAATGAATATGAAGTTTTAGTGACTAACTAAAAAGATAAATCATTTGTGTCTCATGTTTATAAAGTTATGTGGGTCTGTTGTATTCAATCGAAGTCTCAAGTTTTGTATTCTATAATCTAGAATCATTTAATTACAATAATGCAAATAAATAAATAATACATAAATCAATAAAATTAAGTCTGTGTTTTTGATATCTAAAATGCATGTTTAAAATTACATGTCATATATAAATGACAGTGGTTCATTGTAGAATACATGTTTAGCTTTACTTTACACTTTAATGATTGAACAACTTTGTTATTGCTGATCCTAATTTTTGAGGGATGTAGATGAACTTAACACATCAGTTGATTTGTACATCATTGTGTGGTCAATTTTGTGTTTGCAGACTCTTCGGAAACAAAATCAGTGATAGAAAGCAGTTCATCAGAGACCAGCGATTTGAAATATGGTGAAGATCCTGGGCCGGAACCTGACTGATTTATCATTAAGATGATATTTTGTATTAGGCTTGATACATGACGAAACAAAATGAAATTATATCTTTAATGCAGCACCAGCCTGGTTAATTAGAACCAGATTTATTTAATTTAAATGTTTATTATATTACAAAGTGATGATAATGATTTTTATGTTGCAGTGTATTATGCAATAATTATTTCTTGGGAATGGAATACTAGTATCTTCACTGGCTACCGTTCACCGCTCACATCAAGTTCAAGACATTAAAGTTTGCATACATACTGACCTCTACTCCTGCTGTTAGTGGGTAAGCAACACCTCATGGTACTGTAACAGAGGCACAGTGTCATTTTCCCAAACATTTACAGTGGAATGATCTTCCCAGTCTTACCCGGACATTCAAATGCAGTATTTAAGAAATGGCAAAAAAAAAAAATTTTTTCAGTGAGCACTTAACTGTGGATGTTGCCTGGGGAAAAAAAATATTTCTATGCTTTTGCTTCTAGACAATGTTTAAAACTTTGTATTGTTATCACTTCTGTTATTACCTCCTCAGAATAATTCACTTTGTTATACTCCTGATTTTTAAGTCGCTTTGGTTAAAGCATCAGCTAAATGAATTAAAGTAAACATACTCCAGTACTCAGTCTCTTTTAATGCACCTAATTCAGTTGTAAGAAAGCTGGGGGTGTTATTATGGATATGTTTTTTATTATTATTATTATGGTTGTTTTCATACAGCATGTACAACAGTAAATGTACGCAAATAAACCTTGTTTATCTCTTTATATTCTTGACCAGAGCGGTTTTTTTTTAAGTGGCTCGTTGGTCTAGGGGTATGATTCTCGCTTAGGGTGCGAGAGGTCCCGGGTTCAAATCCCGGACGAGCCCTTATTTTTTTCTCCTTTACGAAATGGTCAATTAAAACAATAATGGTCTAAAATTTCATTTATTTGATTGAAATGTGGATTGTAATTAAGGTAAAACTCCACCGACTTCTGACGCAATTAAATGAACGGCACTGCTGTCAATTGTGTGTAACGGACTGTACCCCGCCAAAATGGTAATATGATTATATGGATAAAACACTTGGGAGCAAAAACCTTACATTTCATGTGACCCCGACGTGATTTGAACACGTAACCTTCTGATCTGGAGTCAGACGCGCTACCGTTGCGCCACGAGGTCGATTACAAATAAGACCTAAATAAAATAAAATTAGCTCACGATAACTGTGATAAATTTGAAATCATTTACGGAAATACAGGTAAGACCTTCAAATGTGAACCTGCGATCTAAACCGCAAATGTATGTGTTCAAGTTCGGCAAGCATTTGTACAAGAGACTGTTAAGTTGCCATTATTTCCGAATAACTATTATTTCGTACATTATTATTATATTATTATATTATATATATTCATATATATAAATGCGAAAATAACTATCTATAAAACAAAGATTTTATAAGACAGTTTTACTCTACTACTTCCTGAAATACTTCAGACATGCAGAAATTGAACAATGTATATGGCTCGTTGGTCTAGGGGTATGATTCTCGCTTTGGGTGCGAGAGGTCCCGGGTTCAAATCCCGGACGAGCCCTATTTTTTTTTATTTTTCAATTGAAAACGTGCTGACGATACGAGGCAAACCATGTAGCTCACCGCAACTGATCTCATTCAGAGATCAAACAAGGTAGAGCAGCATGCGCGTTGAATAGTGAAGGCTAATAAATATTTTCTAGTATCGAACAACAACAACAATATAATATGCATCATATTATTTAAATTAACCAGAATATGCAAATCACTCAAAATATGAATTTACCGGCAATTCACACTATTTGAAATACCACAGTCAAAGAAAACAACTGGCCAGTACGGGTATCGAACCCGCGACCTTGGCGTTATTAGCACCACGCTCTAACCAACTGAGCTAACCGGCCATGAAATTGAAGAAGAAAATATCTGTTGAAGAACTTGTGTCAGAAATCACAGCCGCCAGTCTCTTTAAAATTAGGATATAGCTGCCCATATAAATCTTTAATCGTATTATCGTATAAATATAAACACTATGCAGGTTAATTGGTAACAACAAGCTTTATTTTCTGCAAACTGATAAATACATCAGAAAATGTTAGTAACCCGACCATAAACGCTTTTCTTAATAGGTATCATCTTTAAACGGAGGAAAATGTGAGCTGTAAATCGTCTAAAATGTGATATAGATTAATTAATTCGTTAATGGACTTTTGAGCCACTGATTGATTGCACAAAGTTCACAGCTGCACTTATATTCTCTTACCGCTAGATGTCAGTAGAGCATCTCAACTGAGCTACAATTTCTCAGTACAAAGCTTGACTATAAAGCTAATATGAAGGCATTTTTTGTTTTAATTTGACATCGGACTTTTGCAACTGACGTTTTTCAAATAAATAAATAAATTCAGTGAAATTGTAACTTTGTTACTGTAATTAAAACTTTTTTTTTTGTAAAAAACTTTTATTTGATCTCATAGCCTGATGACAAATCATGCAAATACCTAGTTTTAGGTCAACTTTATTTCCATCTAACAATATTCAAAATTCCTTATCATAGGTCTACAGTGAAAAGAAGTTATTGCAATGCCACCCAGCATGTTTTTACTAGCTGTGACACTTGCTTAGTGTCTCTGTGAGAAATCAGTCATATATTTCCATCTAAAATAGTTTTGTATATAAGCTTCTCTGCTTATCTGGATAAAATCAAGTTTTACCCTACATTTTTTTCCTCACTGAATATCAGTAGGTCACATTAGAGACAGGAGGTCAAAAAAAGGAAGGTCAAAACTTAAAGTGGGCAGAAATGAACATTTCTTACAGAAAGCGGGGGGTTTGTCATTTATTAGATGAGGTGAGACGGAGATGACAAGGTCTCAACATTCAAGATTTATTTTCATTAACAATAAATTATCTTTTTACAAAATGAAATAGGACAATTATTTGGCAACGACTCTTTACCACGTTTGAACATGAGAGGTCTTCATATGAACATGCACACAACGATACAAACACCTACTCCAGCCGAGCAGCAAGACTCATCTCTCATGGAAGTTACATCTCTTGGAAAAGATTGGTAAACCGTGTCCAAACCAGATTCAACTAATAAAATGACAAAAGCATCTATTCTTTGTAAATGGATGTTTTTGACCTAAAAACCAATGGAAAAAAAATGATCCACAAAAAAAAAAAAAATTTCTCCTGTGGTTCACAAAAGAAAATATGGTAGGTTTGGAACAACATGAGGGAATTTTTTTTTTTTTAATTTTGGGGTGAATCTCCCTTAAAGACAGTTCACATCAGCCATCTTGTTAGAAGCTATTTCTTATTCAATTGCATCTCATATTTGCTATATTTATATATTTTACGTGTACTTATGGACCCAAATCTATTAAAAAAAAAATATATATATATAAATTGTTTGTGCATCCAAACAAACAGGTGATTCAAAAATGTGATTAGTTAATATTAAACTTCATTACGGCTCATCATTGAGCATTTTCGCTTTTAGTATGGACAAATGGCTTGTTGCTGGAAAGTTACCATGTTGCATCTGGTTAGGACACGGTTGTTAGACTGGTTTAACAACATTACTCTCTTGTGTGTAGTGTGTTTGTGTAGGAAAACATTGTTTAATGTGTATGTGATTGTTCATACACTTTCATGCAGCACGTGCAAAAAAACGCCTCAGTGTTCTTCATCTGCATTTTTTACCTCCATGTTCCCCAAAGAATCGCATTCAAAATGCCATATATGTGCATTTGATTAACTTTGTTCATTTTCTCTCACTTATTTTCGTTTTGTTCTTCATGTGGATGGGAGGAGGATGAGCTCCATACGGTACAGTACATCCTCTTTGTCCTCAGAGGTTAGTTTAAAAACACAAACCTGTAATGTCAGTAAGGTGTGACCATGCACATTAATACATTCCTTTTCCAGAGAAGCATTACGACTTTACAAAAGTCCTGATGTAGCGTTTATTTTCCTTCACCTCATATGCGTCAGAAAAGTGGTCCCCGTGTGTGACTGCAAAAGTTGAAATCCTTCATGCTAACAGCGTGTTAGGACTGTATGGAAGCAGCGATTCAAAAACACAAGTGCTTATAGTGCAAGAGCTCTTCCACGACCCTGTCGAGTCCTCAGTGTGACGCCGGACATGTATTCAATAAAACACTGGACACAGAATGACTATCGGTCCGCCGCGACATCTAGGGGGCGCCGCTTCCGGGTTACCGGGTCAGGAATTAGGAGAACGTAGGATGGTTGTGGTGGTTTTGCGATGTCATTTCTTGTTCTTTATCTACAGGTCGGTCCAGGTGGGAGTGTATTGGGGGCTTTTGGCTGGGCGGCGCCCCCTGGAGGCAGCTCTGGACCCCTGCGCTCCTTCCTGAGCCTGCTGGATCCGCTGACACTCTTTAAGGTTCTGAGCCCGAACTTCTGCGCTCTTGATCCTCTCCACCACGCGGATGGGGAACCAGCCTCGCTCGCCGTCATGCAACCTTTCACCCAACATCCAGCCTGAGGGCGAGAGACGGATATGCCAAAAACAGGAAGGACGTGTCACAAAAATAGTAAAACAGAACAGATGAAAGGAAGCAACATAGTGAGAGAGACACGTTTATACAAATGACAGCAGATGATGCAGAAATGAAAGACAAAGACCGGGTCTAGACAAAAACAGCAAAGTCTGATGAAGTTGGATGGCTTATTGCAAGTCTTTCATTTAAGGCAAACACTGTCTTTTGTCGATGCATTTGTGATCTCTTACCATCATCGGTACACTCCAGAATGTGCAGCACATCAGCCATTTCTACAGAGAGCTCATCAGGTTCCTGAGAGGAGTACGACTGGATACACTGAACCTGTGCAGAATCTGACATGCACCAGAAAAACAATAAATCATACTGCACACAGATACAAAGAAACTCACTAATTCAAGTCAAGAAAGTAAAATGAAATTAAATTAAATTAAATTTATTACATTATTTATTTAATAAATTAATGTAATCAAAACAAAATTATATTATTAGAAAATTTAAATATTACAAATTGTATTATATTAATTTTAATAGTATTTGCAATATTTCTTTTTTTATATGTAACATTTATTTTAATTTTTCAATATTATAATATTTAATTATTTTTACTTACAATATTAAAATAATCTAATATATAACAAATAAACATAAATATTTATTCGATTCTTTTATATTGTTATAAATAAAATAAGCATTATATGCTATATTACTTACTGTATAATATTAGAAAAAAATATATTAATATTATTTATTATATATATTTTATTTTTTTTATAAAATGTAATAATAAAATAGCCTTTCATGTCACTTATTTATTGGGACAGGAAGAAATAGGACAGTAAAAGATGATAAATAAAGAACGAACGGGACTGAGAAATGGGATTTTGAATCAATTACAGAGCTAACTAGTATGATGACAGAAATGGAAACTGTGTCATTATGACAAATAGAGATGGGATTTATCTTGTCTGATTCAGACACCAGACGTACCCCATTTTTACATTTAGCAGCTTGAGCTTTTATCCAAACCAATGTGCATTCAAGAGTTTATTTCAAATCAAACGCATGGCATAGAGCCATGCTACATAGGGTGTGCATGCATGCATGTGATGTACCTGGTTGGTGAGCGCTGGTCGAGAGGAATCTCGTACGGCGGTTTGGAGTCAAAGCGTATATCCAGCGCAGTTTATCACTTCTGTAAACATTCATAGAGCCATTAGTGCACAAAGCAAACATGTACTGTGATCTCTGTGATAATGGCTTAGGACTGCGTTCTCACATGCTTTCGGTTATTATTAGAAAATTTAAATATTACAAATTGTATTATATTAATTTTAATAGTATTTGCAATATTTCTTTTTTTATATGTAACATTTATTTTAATTTTTCAATATTATAATATTTAATTATTTTTACTTACAATATTAAAATAATCTAATATATAACAAATAAACATATTAGAGTCAAAGCGTATATCCAGCGCAGTTTATCACTTCTGTAAACATTCATAGAGCCATTAGTGCACAAAGCAAACATGTACTGTGATCTCTGTGATAATGGCTTAGGACTGCGTTCTCACATGCTTTCGGTCTTGAGCATGTAGCTGACTTCTCTGTCCTCCTGGTTCTCCAGCAGTTTCAGCACAAACGCACAGGCCAGCATCTGCCCCTGATCCTCCAGGTCTTCAGTCCTCAGCATGGAGCGACTGCAGGAGTCCAGAACCTGGTACTTCTCTCCACTGAATATTTTTTTTAGCAAAAACAATCATAATACAATGGAGAGTGAGACTAGTGAGTAAATATCAGTCAAGTACATTATTCAGACAACATTTAGCCATTTTGACCTATTTTAGCATTCATCTTTCAACAATCAATATCAACAAATCATTACTGGACAACAAAATATTTCTTTTTTTTTTATTTTTGAGTAATTTTTTTTAGTCCTATTCACACTAAGAACAATAACTAGATTAATGTCCACACTAACAGACAATCTCACTGTTTTGAGTGGATTCTAAAATTAAATACACTTTAACTCATAACAAATTAAAACAAAATTAAATATTTTTATTATAATTTCTAACAATTAATTAAAATATTATAGTATTTTTAAATGTACTTAAAATAACATATTTAATATGGTATTATTTACTGTAGTTTTTATTTTACAATATTATAAATAAAATGTATTTTATTTATTATTATAATTATTTCATTTATAATAGTTAGAGTTATATTTATTATTAAACTGAATTTCATCATAATGATATAAATAAATATTTTTCATATTATTTATTTTTACATCACTTAGTATATAATATTACAAATTAAAAATATTATATAATATACTATTATATCATTTATTTTATAATATGATTGTCCACACCAACAGACGACATCATTGTGTTTATTATAAGCGACCGATGACATCGTGAAGTGCAGCTGATGATGTCACAGACCTGGAGCTGCGTTTGGTGATGAGCAGCAGGTTATTGAACAGGAACAGGTAGATGGGGTGGTAGAGCTTGCGGCTGCGCATGGTCCTGGTGCTCTTGGGCCCGGACATCTGCTGCACCTCACCCTTCTTCAGGAGCCAGCGAGAGTGAGAAATCACCGGCACTGACTGCAAACAAGAGAACACAACTGCACTTTATAAAGATCAGGGTGGTAAGAGTTTCATTCTGATACCCAAGTAAAGACTTCTTGAAAAGGATAGTTCACACAAAAATGTACTCATATTATAAGCCTCAAAAAAGGAGATATTTAACAGAATGTTCACACTGCTCATTTTTATAGAATGAAAATGCATGGCAATGAATTCAAGATGTGTTTTTTTATATTATATATATGTATTAATAAACCAAATGCCATTGATTCTCATATGTATCATAATTGAATGAGATACATCAAGTTTGAGTCAACAAATGCAAATAAGAGCTAGAAACTATTTTTAGCGCACAATGACTTAAATTTTATTGTGTTAATCACATATAGCTATTACCATATTTTCCGCAAATATGTTGCATCTGAATAGTTAAACTGGGGCAAGATTTGCATTGTTATGCATTGCTGAGAGAAAAAATGCATTGGTGTATGAGTCACATTTTATGATTACATTCTGAAATAATGCTAAATACTGGTACATAAAACAAAACACTTACATTAGAAACACTACACTGAAAAAAAATTGGTGTAGGATTTAATTAGAAATAATTTTCACTCAATCGCTACTAAATTTCACAAGTAATTACAAAGAAACAGCAAATAACATTGAGTTACTAAAGAAAAAGTATTTTATTGTAAAATATACTCCAATCTTTGTTTTTTTACACCTTGGAAATTTATTTATTTTATTTACAGTGTATTAACATATTTTATGGCTTTTGCAGTCACCAGTCCCTGTTTAATCTCATGTTTGGAAAAGAGCAGCTTTAACGGTCTTCTAAACATCTCCTTCTGTGTTCAATAAAAGAAAATAAGTCACACGGTTTGGAAATACATAAATAAATGATATTTTTGGGTGAACTGTTCCTTTAAGTACAGTAGAAGAGTGCGTTGGGGTTATGGCACAACATCTTTAGTCTTTCAGTACCTTCGACTTGAATTCAAGTGTTTTCTCGATGCTGATCAGCTCTTGAGTGCGACTCATCTTCCTCACTCCTTCATTGCACTCCTTCACAATCTGAGAGACACAAACATACACCCACATCTGCATTAATATCCTGACATGTGGGGATTTCCCATTCACTTCTATTTGAATAAGAGCTAATTATAAGCACTCTACACTAACCCACATAGACACCCTAACCTTGAAATACAACTTTAGGCATTTTTAGATACAAATTAGACCATTATTAAAGCAGCACTATGTAACTTTTTCTGTGTTCAAAATTTGTAAAATGTATATAATGAGCGAGTACATCATGAATTCATCTTCCAAACCGCGTTTTTGTCTTATTCCGAATCACTACGGTACACTTATAATAAGTACTTATATTTGGACTATTGTAGCCTGGTCGGGTCGTCACCGCTGCGGAGTAACACATACCTGCGTGAATCGCCATAGACATAAACTTAGAGAAGTAGCTCCGGTTGGAATGTTCTTCCGCGGGATGTGTGCAGTTCTGTTTATTAACCACTAAACCCAATTTTAAACTGATTTCCTTGTAGGAACGTCTCCAGTTCATCAGGTTTTACTATTCCCTCAGAAATTTTGTCATCACAATTAGAAAAACATACTCCCACACACAAGAACAAGGACTAAATTATACTTTTTGAGTTTCACTTCAACTTGGAGTTCAAGTATCGGCTGTTTGTTTACCAGACGTTTAACAAATCTTTATAAATGAGCAAACTGCAGATGACCTCTGGGACATAAACTTTGCCTTGTGGTCTTCGGAGTCAGTGTTTACCGAGACCCACTGTAGTGTCTTGATTGTGTTAATAATCAGAATCATACATTTGAGCACTAAAAACATTTTGCATCTTCAGCGAATTCATAAAATAGAAAGTGTTGTGAAGTCACATACAAAACAACCACACCAAAATGTAATCAGTTATCTGTACACATTATGTATTTCTATTTACTGTATGCTATTTAATGCACTAGTGTTAAATGATGCACTTTTTGTTGTTAAAGGGGTCATATGATGCAATTTAAATGTTACCTTTCTCTTTTCTGACTCACGTAAGTACGTTTTCATTTAAAGGATTTGCCACTGATGATTCAAACGCGAGTTTTGGGCAGTAGAGTAGCACTTGTTGTTTGTCATTTCTCCGATCACAAATGCAGACAGAGTTTTATGTTTACGCGGCGTGATGCAATGCAACGCAACGCGTAAAAAGACATTATAAGTCATTATAATCAGTAATTATGTTCAGACCGATGAGCTTTGTAAAAATCGACGCGTTTCAGAAAGGCGGGGCATAGAGGAGAAAAAATAATGTACAGTATGTGGAAAATAATGTTGTTTTTTTTTACTTTAAACCTTATAAACACATTTCATTACACCAAATACACAAAAGAATGTTCTTTTTAGCAGCATCATATGACCCCTTTAAATATTTTCCAAAAGCATATAGTGGTAAATTAATATAGTGGTGATGTATTTCCTGTCAACAACCACAACAAACCACCACACGGATACATTTAGGTAAAGTGATTGTTGCCATAACAGCAAATAATTTGAGTCTGAGGACTTGAATAGCAGTTGAATCACAATTACGTTAATTCCAACATGACGTGAATGCTGCAATAATCGCTTTAAAATGTTTAAAGAAAATAATTAAGAACAAAAGCAGCATTCCACCTCACAACTGTTAAAGTCAGCGACAAGAGGTGTGGCGCGTTAACCTTGGTAACAGGAACAACAGTGTAAAACGTGCTTGACAGGTGAAAGTCCAGAGACAATGAGACTTACTAATAACAAGACTCATTACCACACCCTGGAATCAAAACACACACACACACACACACACACACACACACACACACTTACCCTTTCCAACTCTTGATGAGCTAATATTGCAGTCTTTTCGCTCTCTGAATTTTCCTCCACCTTCTTCAGAATATTCTGGAACAAAAAAGAAGCAGTTTTGCTAAAGAAAGATTTAACTAATTCGAAGACATTTGATTGGTTTACTCATTCCCTACACAAGTTACTCAAGACTTCTAATTGGCTGACGCTCACCTGAACAAGTAGTTTGAGTCGTGTGATTCGCTGGAAAGGGAGGATGAGGAAGGAGGTAAACGAGAGGCCCTTCACTTTCGGCTGCTTCTCCAAAATGGATATATTCTCTCGGAAAATAGCATTTTCTTGTCTGAAAAACACATACAGACATTTATGTACAAGTGTGTTAATGCAAATATAGCCTGTAATTTTAAAACAAAGAGGCAGCGATAGGCAAGCTACACAAAAAGTAGCTAACTAAAATACACACTACTCTATAGAAAAAAGAGAGAGTAAGATAGTATGCATATATGAGACAAGTAAAGTTACCTATCCAAGCTGCAAACAAGCACATCATCATGATAATAATGCACAATGTTTGTCCCTTAAACCTTGATTTACTAAAAAGAAGTGACTCAAATCATTCTTTCCCGATTCACTGAAAAGAACGGATTCAAAAGATTTTTGAATCAGATTCTAAACAGCCGACCGACTATACAGCCAGTACAAACATCTGTACTGCTGAAACAATAATGTTAATTAATGTTACTTAGTTACTTTTTTCTACTTGGATGCATTATTATTTTCGTTTCACACTACTTTTACATCATGTGGTTTGTTGTGGAAAGGTGTGTTCACCTTCTCCTGGCACACAACATTTAATTGCTGTCAGATAAAAATCTGCTTTGCATATTGCTGTTAGATTATAAAATGTCATAATCATAAATCTTGACATGGAGATTAAACCACATTTACAGTCCATAACCAAAAGTAAAACCACAACGGAGTTGGAAATGGTTATGGTTTATGGCACTAACCAGGTGAAACTCAACACAGATCAGATATTCATATGCAGATTGTGTACTTTATCTCTCAAAAATAATTTGCATAAATGCACATTTCAATTTCAGTCAGTGTCATGTTCAATGGCCTGAGGCAGAGTGATATGAGCATACTACTTACTGAGTACTGTTTACTGCCTACTATATTAAAAACAAACCCTCAAGTGTGGCATTTTTTAATTTCATTGTGAATAAAAGTCTAAACTTATGGCAGTCCAATCAAATAATGAGTAACTAAAGAGTTTTTTAAAAATCGTTACATTATTTTCCTTCTGATTCTTTCATCACACATCAAATGGAAGGTCAAGTAGGACACACGTTGCATTGTGGGATACATTATTCTGTGTAGTGTGCTTCTAATCTATTTTGCCAAAATTACTAGATAATTTCTGCATACAGAAACTTTGGATAGTGTGAATAGCATAGTATGACTAGCATTTTAGTATGATATTACATGCATATCCTAAAAATTAACAGATTTTTGACAAATATGTGCAGTTTAGCCTTTTTCCCAGCAGGTGGCCTATGAGGAAAGCGGCTTAGAATGAAGTTTAGCAATGCACAAGAGAAATGAGTTTGGATAGCAGCTTATTCTTCCTTTATGCTGTTTAAAGATAAAAATAGTTTTAATTGTTATGAATATAAATATAATTAGTATTCAGCAAGATGCCTCTAGGACAACACAATTAACTACTTGAAATGAACTTAGGTCACAAAGCAGAAAGACGGTTTATGAGGTTAGAGTTTATCTTTATGAACCTGTGTGTCTTAAAAACAACAAAACATGCTTGTTTCTGATGCACAACCCAGCTGTTGTTATGAACGTAATGCACACACACTCACAGAGTGGCTTTAACCCTAACATTAACAGGAATGGAAAGCACTGAAACTCCTCAGGCCGATGCGCAGAAAGTCCCAAGAGCTTTACACGCTCACAAACACACACAAATGAAAGCACCTACACAAACCCTTACACAACACATCAGAAGCCAGCGAGGACTGAAGCCTCAGGCTAGAATCCAGGCAGACAGCTGGTCTGTGGAGACACTGAACATGCATGCCAGACTGGTCGATTTACACAACAAATGCACACTACTGTCCCTCCCTGTCCTGAAAATACAGTCATTGTACACACCCACAATCAATAACACTCAGGCAAAGCTATCGTATGACTTCTGATTTATGTTGCGTTAAAACACTTTCACGCAATCAATAATCCAGCTTTTGAGCTCTATACAAGAAAATACAGGCTTGGGACAGCATGAGGGCAAGTATATGGTCACACGATCACTTTAATAAATGTAAAGTGTCATGGAATTTCACTAAGCGAAGGAAGCGTGGGAAGACTGCAGGTGACACATTGATGCATTGCTGTTGTTGTTCCTTGCATGAGCCACCAGTCAAGTCAAGTCACTGAGTCACATTTAATTACAGGAGTCATCACGTACAACGTCACGCGTTTCGGTTACGACACAAACAAGGAAATACTCTTATATTCTAAAGCTTATTACGCACGAAGACAAAGAAAGCATTTCGGACCAGAATTAATCTGCATGGTAGTTCAGTTGTTCACCAGCCAAATCTAGCTGGTTGATCAGCATGGTGAAGCTGGTTGACCAAGCAACGCTTTTCAACCAAAGATAAACTGGTAACATTTTACAATAAGGTCTCGTATGTTAACACTATTTAATGCATGAACTATCATGAACTAACAATGAAAACTATTTTTACAGCATTAATTAACCTTTGTCGATGTTAGTTATTAAAAACGTTCATGTTAGTTCATACTACATTAACTTTTCATTGAAATAATGTATTAGTAACTGTTGAACTTTTAACTATTAAGAATAATAAATGCTATATAAGTATTGTTCGTTAACTAATATGCTTAATTAATGTTAACAAACGAAACCTTATTGTAAAGTGTTACAGATTAACTCAATTTTAACTAATAGATATAACCATACTTTCACTAGTTGATTAGTCATAGTACGATTAAGACAATTGTTTTTGCATTACAAGCATTAACTATGCACTAATTTAGCAGAAAATTCCAAAATGGCAATTTAAAGGGGTCATATGATGAGATTTAAATGTTTCCTTTCTCTTTGGAGTGTTACAAGCTCTTGGTGCATAAAGAAGATCTGTAAAGTTGCAAAGACTAAAGTCTCAAATCCAAAGAGATATTCTTTATAAAAGTTAAGAGTCAGCCACGCCTACCTAAAACGGCTCGTTCTAACACGCCCCCACATGTCTACGTCAAGATGTGGGAAGATTTGCATAACGCCGCCCAAATGTTCATGCAAAGAAAGAAGGCGTAACTTTTATTCTCGCTGTAGTATTGTTGTTGCCGCTGCCGCCATGTCGTGAAGGCGCTGTGTGTTTCGTTGTGAAAGCGAAACTACTTAGTTTGGCCTTCCAAAAGAGGACGATATCCGCTTCGTCATGCCTGGAGCTGATCCGTGCTGGTCGCTGAGGAAATACATCAACTTTGCGCTGTGGATCACCGGATCAGCTTTCACTGTGGACGAAGCGGAGTCCAGCCCGGGGTCGTCACATGTGGTTGCCGCAAGCCCGCCGGCCGAACGACGAAACATCAAATAATGTTATTTTTAGCAACATCATATGACCCCTTTAAACATTGAATGAAGTCATTTTCTAAATTCTTGTTTCATTAGAGTTACAGAGAGAACAAAAAATACTGTCAACAGCTTAAAAAAATGCTTTTTACCAAGATTTTTGGGAATAAATTGTTATATAAATCAGTCTCCAACCTTTCTAACCTTCAGGATAAACATTGCAATAAATTGTATATGTAAGTGCTACTGAAGTGCATGAGAAAAAACTCTTTAAGAAAATGTCCTTTAAATATATGTATTGTAACTGAAATCTACTAACTGAAAATAAACACTGTTTTTTGGATGTTTTCTAAACACTATTCTTAAAGACGACACATAATGTAAGCAAAATAGCCCAAAATCTCAAAATAGGTAAAAGGTAAGAAATTTTCTTACAGTATCCGTCGGTAGTTCTTCTCCTGGTACGCCTGGTTGATGACGTAGCTGATGAAGACTTGGAAGTGGTTAACAGCGTGAAAATGAACGATGTCGCACACGTCTGAGATCAGGATGGACTCTTCGATCCTGTGCTCCAGATCCATGAGGAACCTGAGGAAAATATGAGGTCATCGCCGTTAGACATCAAGATTATGGCTGTGTGACATTTTGTATATGCAATTAAGACATGTAGTTCAATGGCATTGGGGAAAGTACATACTGTTTACGTTTGTATGTACTGTAAGTGTTAGCATCTAGTTAAATATATGCACATTAAACAAACTAAACCGAAAAAGCTTGCATGGGCAATAACTTCGAAGATCCACTAGCTTTAGTATACATCTAGCCAATTTTGTTTAGTGCCACTAGTGATGCAGAAACTAAACATTTCTCTTTCCAGAAACTTTAGCTTGAGCTCATTAGCTTAGCTGTGCACCAACAATACAAACACATCTTATGTAAGAAATAAACTCAAATCAATCTTGTAATCCAATGTTCTTCACTGTTCGAGAGCAGGTTTGGAAGGGCCGAGCTCCTCCTGACTCATGCGCATGAATCATCGCATTAGTGGGTGGATTTGCATGCTATAAAGCTACTGAATCAAATCACACCAACACTTTAATTTTAGCCTGTGGGCAATAATGGGTATCAGGGTGAAGGGGAGGAGGTTTCACTTCTGAAATATGATTGAAGCAAGATTATGTGAAGTTTATTAATATTAACCGTTATGTGAGACAAAAGTTTAAACTACATAAAAAAAATTTGAAGACTAATTATTGGATTAGTAAAGGCAGATGACATAATATGTGACTACACATAGAAAAAGCAACTATTTAAAAAAAAAATGTATTTAAAAAATATATTTAAAATATAAATGAGTAAACTAATAAATAATAATTAATTAATAATAAATACATTACTAATATTTAAAATATATATATTTTAGAAAATATTATAAATACATTTTCTCCTGGCGATATTTTTTTATATATGTAAATTTTATTTTTTAAATGCATCTTGGATATATTTGTTTTATTTGAAATACTTATTTATATAAAATGTATCTTTACAATATATTTTGAACATGTTTTTTTATTTAAAAATATATAAATTGATACAAATGTAAAAAAAATATATATTGATACCTTTTTAGAAAATATTAAGAATATTTTTTTCTAATTTCTACTGATTGGCTGTGTTGTATATTTATATAAAATTAATTTAAAAATATATATTTTGGACATATTTTGATTTACGTTATTAAATATATTCAAAACATATATTTAAGAAATTAACATATTTTCCTAATTTCAATTAATATGTCTTAAGCTGTTTTTTTTTTTTTGG